GCCCCCCTGCCCAACCCCCCCCTGCCCTGTGACCTCACAAGCCCCTTAGCACAAGCCACCGGCAAACTGCAGAGTTCCCACGGCAGAAAGCAGAGGTCTGGGCCAACTGCGTGAAGGGTGTGAGTCCTCAGGGTCACGCAGGGCCTGGGAGGGCTTCTCCTTTGGCAACCCCATAGCGTTCAGTAGGGTTCTCAGACCACTTAGGGGCTCCCTGGCTTCCCGAATTCCCTCCCACAGTCTCCCAGGCCCCAGTAACCGGGAGCTCTGGGCACTGGGCCCCATGGTGGGGAGTAAAGGGGTGGCTGAGGAAAGAATTCTCTCCGAGCTGGCCCAGCTTTCCCCAGGACCACCCGCACCCCCCCGCCCGCACCACAGGCACGTGCACACACGCACAGGCACACACACACACACACACACACACCCCACCATACCTGCCATTCTCTGCATTCCTCGTGGCTGGAGAACTCAAACAACGTGACGGCATTGTAGAGCTGCCAGAACTGGAAAGAGGGGAGGCAGGCACCATTTACTCCAACTGATTCCCCCGGACACCCACGTGAGGAAGCCCCGGGAGTGGACCAGGCCCCCCAGCTTCTGGTATCCACTGTCCTAAGACACTGAGAGCCCCCTAAAATGAAACTGGGGCACCCTAGGCCAGAGCAGCCTGAAGATCTGGGGTTCTGCATGCTGGTGCTACGGGCAACTTCCGGCTCCTGCCTTTGGTGTCCCAGGGCCCAGGGGCCGTCTCTGCCCCAGGACCCCGTGGGGCCCAGCTCAGGGATGGCTGGTGAATGAGGAGAGGCCTGAAGACCTTTTGTTCCCAGGGGTCAGCCCAGAACAGGGGATCCCCACAAACTCCAGGGGACTCACATGACCACAGAACAGGAAAGGCAGGAGGAAGGTGAGGCCCCGCCACATCCAGGACTGGAATCCTTCTGTGGAGAGGAGGAAGCAAAGGGCCGGTGGGAGGGGGTTCAGGTGCCCCCACCGCCCCACCAAGCGCCCACTGCCTAGCCATGCCAGTCCCCCGAGATTAGCCACATGGGGCAGGGGGGACAGCCTCACCTATCATCAGTGGGTGAGCTCTCTGAAGATCACCCAGAGAGCATGCACAACACCTGTCACGGGCCCTGACTGCTCTCACGCCTCAAGCCACCACGAGCTCATAGGGCTTGACAACAGTTACAGAAAGCTGACGTGCCAGGCACTGGTTGCTAATAATGTCTTTAATTTGCATGGGATTTTGCTTTTTATAATGGACTTTTGCACGTATCACTTCAACTGAGTCTTGACAAAGTAGGGCCTACTTTGCAGAGTAATTCAGTAGAAATGACCATCTCAAAAGATGGCAGAATTTTATTAGTTTCCTGTGAAAGTTGAGACAAGAGCTCTCCAAGCTCTTCTGACTGGGCGCTTGACCCATGAGTTAAAAAAAGTTAAGCACAGGGGTGCTTGGGTGGCTTAGTCGGTTAAGTGTCCGACTCTTGATTTCGGCTCAGGTCATGATCTCGGGGTCTTGAGATTGAACCCCAAGTCGGGCTCCAAGCTGAGGGCGCAGCCTGCTCAAGATTTTCTCTCTCCTTGGGGCGCCTGGGTGGCTCAGTCGTTAAGCGTCTGCCTTCGGCTCAGGTCATGATCTCAGGGTCCCAGGATCGAGCCCCACATCGGGCCCCCTACTCCTCAGGAAGCCTGCTTCTCCCTCTCCCACTCCCCGCTGCTTGTGTTCCCTCTCTCTCTGTGTCTCTCTCTGTCAAGTAAAATAAATAAAATCTTTAAAAAAAAAAAGATTTTCTCTCTCTCCCTCTGACCCTCCCCACCACGTTCTCTTACTCTCTCTCTCTAAAAAAAAAAAATATATATATATATATGTATACATATATATAAATTAAAAATAGTTAAGCACACATTCCCAATGTATATACATGTATGTATCTATACATATTTATACGTAGCCATATTATTTTTTTTTTTTAAGTAGGCTCCACGCCCAGCATAGAGCCCAACTCGGGGCTTGAACTCATGACCCTAAGATCAAGAACTGAGCTGAGATCAAGAGTCAGATGCTGAACAGACTGAGCCACCCCAGCGCCCCTATATTAAGTTATACACGCACGACAACATGCATATATATTTATGCATATATAATTATGTGTATTATAAAACACAGACCAAAAAAATAGACATTTAAAAAGGGTAAGACAGAAGCCAGCATCGAGGCCTGGCTCACAGCTGGCCTCAAGCTTGTTGGCTGAAACAGAATCCACGATGAATTATGAAAAGCAACTTAGGTAGAGGCCTGCAGCCCTGGCTTTGTGTGTGGTAGGTCTTGTATGTTCTTACTGGCTCATGCTCCCAGTGTAGGGAGTTAGCAGTGAGGTCTGGGGGAGCAGGGAGGGGCCGGTACTTGTTCCCCACCTCCCCTCCCCTCCCCAGGCTGGGTTACTCACCCACGGTGAGGTCCAGATGATTCCTCTCCCCCAGGGCACGAAGTCTGTAGAGGCAGCCCCTCTGGTAATAATATTGCAGGAACTGGACACAGCCTGCAGGGGGAGCACAGCGCCTGGCTCAGGGCCTGGAGGACTGGGCGCCACCTCCGCGCAGACCCAGGGGTCTTCACGGCCCAGAGGGCAACCCTCTCTCACCCCAACACACACACACACACACACACACACACACACACACACTCTTCAGCCTGAACCCACTTTATCCCTTATCCAGAATACAACGAGAGTAGGTTATCTGAAGACCCAACTAAACACCAATGAGATTAGAAACTTCTAGAGCAGATGCTTGCTGGGATGGTGGCACCATGCGGGGAGCTGTGTGTAATGCCAAGACAGCAAGAGACACTTTCAGACAATGGGATACTTAGTAGTTACTAAAAATGAGCAGGTAGAATACTGTGTATTGACATAGAAAAATACCCATCATTATTGTTAAAAGAAAAATAAACAGATTGTAAGCAAAGCTATTTGTACAAAGTGATCCCACATTTATAGACTACATAATGCAGTATGTACGTATATATGAATCAAACTGAAAGGACATAGATCTATTAACAGTGATCACTCCTAAGGGTGAGATTATATATAATTTTCATTCTTGGCATTTAGAGATTTGTATTTGTTGGCAGGGTTTTATTTAAAAATTTTATTCTTTGAATCAGTAATATGCACACAAAATTCAAAGAGAACAAACAAGTACTTGGTAAAAAAAACTCTCTCTCTGTCCCTATCCCCAACTATCCAAGCTCCCCCTTCTCAGAGGGGACCCCTAGGACCAGTTCACGGTATATAAATCCAGAGCTATTATTATTTTTTTTTTTTTTAAGATTTTATTTTTAAGCAACCTCTACACCCAATGTGGGGCTTGAACTTACAACCCCAAGATCAAGAGTTGCTCGCTCTACCGACTAAGCCAGTCAGGAGCCTCAATCCAGAGCTATTCTTAAATGAGAAAAAGAACATATGCTCTATTTCCATTTTGAGGTAGTGCCCCCAACACTACTCAGTTCCCAAAAGTCACCATTGGTCCCCAGCTGTGACATGGGAAAGAAAAGGCAGTGATGGGGGCTCCTGGGGGTGGGGGTGATCAGGCTGCCCCTCCCCCAGGACTGGGCGGTGATCTGGGGGCAGGCAGCTCTTTGCTGGATTTCTGGGACCCTCCCCTGCCCCAAGCTCCCTTCCACACTAGACACACCCCTCACAAGGGAGGAGGGATGACAGGGGCCTCCATCAGTGAAAGCCCAGAGAAACGTGCCCCCTCCCCCGAATTGAGGCAAGAGGCACTCACTCTGAAAAATGGAAAACGCTAAAAACTGATTACGAAACTTCTGATAAATTAGTCCGTTGGGCCTGCAGAGAAGTGGGGAAAAGTAAAAGTGAAGTGTGCTGTGAAAACATTCACCCCTGCCCCTCTCCATTCCAGCCAAGAGAGAAGAAAAGCTTTTAATTAAAAAAAAAAAAAAAATTAAGTAATCTCTACACCCAAAGTGGGGCTCAAACTCACGACCCCGAGATCAAGAGTTGCATGCTCCATGGAGTGAGCCAGCCAGGCACCCCGAGAAGAAAAGCTTTTAAAATGAAATGGAGGTCCCTGATTTCTGCCCTTCCTTAGCACAAGTGCCCCTGGGGCTGGACCAGTTACTTTCATTTCTTTAAGCCCATTCTAGAAGCACGGGGGCCTGTAATCATCATTCTGAAGCCTAAATTCTTGCTGATGCCCACTCTCTCCATCTGTCTCCTTTGGAGCCTCATCCCTGTACTCTTTCTGTCCATTGCTCTCTGTCACCTCTATCCCAGCCGGTAGGCCAATGAGACATCCCCAGAAACCTCCCAGCTGACTTGGGGGAAATCCCTGCAGCCTGGCTGTAAGCTCACCCTTTTCTTCTTGGCCCAAATGTCAGCCCAGGCCAGGAGCCTCGAGGGCACCCCCTCGCCCACGGCCAGCCCCCCATTCACGGGCCCCCATGAGACACTCACCAGGTCAGCATCACTCCAGAGAGGAACGTGGACACATAGTGGTGAGACACCCACCAGCCTTTAATTCTTGGAGAGAAGAGAAGGAAAGGGAGCTCAGGTGGGGAGGGAAATGGGTGGTTCTTGCTTCCCAGACTATGTATGCATGGGCTACTCTGTGGCCCCAAGACAGCCATGACATAGACCCAAGCCATGATTTCGCCCTTTCCTCTGTCCTCCAGAGACGCACAATCACACATAAACCACCCGCAGATTAGCCATGAGGCCCACAGAGGCACACGGGCCTCCAGGGGCTTCCTGCTACCCTAAAAGCATATCCCTCACCGCACCCCAACTTGAAGCCCTGTCACCCTGCCCTCGCCTTGAACCTGCCAAGCCCATTGCTACCTCAGGGCCTGTTATGGGCTGAATTGTGTGCCCCCCAAATTCCTATGTTGTAGTCCTAACCCCTTAGGGCTAGTACCTTAGAATGTGACTGTATTTGGAGATAGGAACTTTAAAGAGGTAAGTAAGGTTAAATGAGGTCATAAGAAAAAAGGCCCCATGAAGATCCGGTGGCATCTGCAGGCCAAGGAGAGGCCTCAGGAGAAACCAGTGGGGCTGGCACCTTGATTTTGGACTTCCAGCCTCCAGAACCGTGAGAAAATAGATTTCTATTGTTCCAGCCCCCGAGCCTGTGGTATTTTGTCACGGCAGCCCACGCAGACCAGCGGGGCCTTTGGACTTGCTGTTCTCTCTGCTCCGAGAACTTGGCCTGCCTGGCTCATGGTCCAAATTCAAGTTTTGGACCAACTGTCACCTCCTCCAAAAGGCCTTCTCCGGCTACTTTATCGAAAACAGTCAGGCAGCCCCACTCTGAGTCACACTACTGTTTTATTTTCTTCATGGCGCTTACCACTATCTGAAATTATTCATTTCTTCCCCTTCCTTTGTTCTCTGAACCCTCTTCCCCGCTCACACGTAAACATCAGGAGAGCAGGGATCTTGTCTGTGTTCTTCATCGATGTTATCTGTGACACCTGGCTCAAAGCAGGTGCTCAATAAGTGTGTTGAATAAACACAGCATGCACACACATGCACACACACATACACTCATGCTCACCCGGAGCTGCAGCTACCTCCGTTACCCCACACAGACACAGAGAAATGCCAGACTGCCCACACAGCATCTCAGCATCCCAGACGCACTTTCTCCCTGGGAGCCCACACCCCCTGGGCTCATCTGTTCCTCCATCTACAGCAGGCCCTTGCCCAGCCCTGGACTTCCTGTGTCCAGTCCAGAAGCTGTGGGAACCCTGGTTTCAGAACCCAGTACTCCCCCAACTGAGGGTTGTCACTCCATTGCAGGGGAGGGAGCCTCGTTGTCACCCCCTCCTCAGTGTCAGCGTCCCAGCCTCCGCTGAAAGCTGGACCCTCCAACCTTTACCCTTCAAAGTCCTTGAGTCTGTCTCTGGCCTCCGCTGGCCTTCTCCAGCCCCGTCTCGGAGCTCAGTTATCTGAACACAATGTGGCAGCGATTTGCTTTGCCAAGTACAGCCTAGGAGCAGTGGGGCTCCTTCCTCCCAACGACTGGGCAGTAGAAACTGGGTTCCCCAAGCCCTCACCAGCACTGGATTCCAAGTTTTAAAATTTCTGCCAGTCTATTAGGTGAAAATCGGTGTGTTGTTGAGGTTTTAATTTGCATTGTCCTAAGTGGGTTCCAACCAGAATGCAGACATCACACAAGCAGAGACTGGATCTTACTCATCTCTCCTCTTTGCAATCCCACAATAAATCTGGACATAAATTAGGGGTTCCGGCATGGCCTGTGTATGCCTCAAGGGTTATGGTGAGGAACAAGGTTTTACGTGGCTCTTTATTCCTAGCACTAACAGCACCCGGTAAACAGTAGGCACTCAATAAATGCTAAAATGATGTCCAGGAGGTGTGGCTGATGAAGCAGCAGCTGGTCTAGATGCCACCAGCAATGGAGGGACAGGGTAAGACATCCACCCACTTCTCTGATCCCAGTCTCCCCCTCCCCATGTCCCTGGGTTGCCTGTCAATGTCTACAAGGACCCCTGGCTCTAATTTTCTGACAGAAGAGGCAGTTAGCCCCATCCTCAGACCTTCAGCTTGAAGAGCACCCAAGAAGCCTCTCTGCAATCACTTCCCCCAAGTTCTCTGCAGAGCCACACACAAGCCCTGGGGCTTTGGCAAACGCCGTGCTCCTCTGTCCTACTCCCCAAAGCCCCCCTGAGAAATGCCCCCTCCCCACGTGGGAGCGGCCACAGCCAGACGCGGGATCTGTGCAGCAAGCCTGGCTGAGCAGCCGCTTTTCATTTCACAGCTCATAGTGCCCAGAGCCCAGCTCTGACAGATGCCCCCAATAAGCACAGCTCAGCGGCACTAGGAAAGGCTAGAAATTGCTTCTTCCCTGGCATGGCGTTCTCGAGCCCCCTCATCCATCTGCACACTGCAGGGTGCTGGGCTGGTTTTGTGCACATGTGTTTATGCAATCGTTTTACTGTAACTTAATTCAAATATCATACAATTCCCCCATTTCAAGTATACACATCAGCGGCTTTTAGTATATTTGCAGAGTTGTACAACCATGACCACTATCAGTTTTAGGACATTTTTTATCACCCCAAAAGAAACTTGGACCCATTAGTGGTCACTCTTTGGGCCTGCTTTGCCACGGAAATAAAGCTTGCAGGGCCAATGGGCATTTTAATGAGCAGGCAGGAGATACGCAATGAAGAGCGGTGCACACACAGCCACAGTGTAGGACTAGCGTGGCCTGGTATCTGGGAATCGTGCCGAGGATACCACGGCCCTTCTTTCAGGACACCTTGGCCACGTTTGCATGTGGGTACCACTCATAGGCACCAGCAACCACAGGCTGTCTCCGGCTTTGAGCTCCGGGTCACGTGGGCAGGTGGGGGAATGGCTTCCACACTGAGGCTCCCTTCCTCCCGGACAGCCCTACACGGCTTTATCTGAGCAAAGTCCCCTATAACAGCCAGTTGGAAGCAGGCACCCATGGGCTGGCTGGCCAGAAAAGCTAACGCGATCCCTGATTCATTATTTATTCTGGCCCAGAACTAACTGTAGAGGACATCTGCTGTTTTGCCTCTCTGTCAGTCACCCCACCCCCTCTCCACCCCCCACATTCTGGTTGCACGCCAGGCCTTTCTTTGGGTGAACCACCTCATCATCCCCACACTCAATCTGGGTGGCTGAGGGGGAAGCAGAGTGATATAACTGGGCACGTGACTCGGAGCCAGCCTATCAGGGCTCTGCATCCCCCAGCCACACTGATTGGCTCAGGGACGAGCATGTGACCTCAGCTGAGCCAATCAGAAATCTGTCTCAAAATTACAAAAACTGGATCTGCGAAGGCAAGCGCTCTTTCCTGTGAGACTATCGATCTGGCGGGATCCTAGTCTAGGCTGCTGGAAGCCAGTGCTTCCAGGGGTAAGAGATCAGGGAGGAGGACTGTTGGCATTGTGTGAGCCCCCCCCC